CTGGCCTGTGCCCTCTCGCAATCCGGGACCCCTTACTGGTCACATGGCCACTTAGGCTTTTGTATATATGTTGTGCAGGAGGCAGCCAATTGATGATTCTCTCTCCTCATTGATGTTTCTATCTCTCTCTCCCCCTCCCTTCCTCTCTGAGATCAATTCTTTTTTTAAAGGAACTACACCTGAGAAGCCTCTTGCTGCTGCTATAAAGGCTGGAGGTTTTGGGAGAGTGTATTTTGGGAGAAATGTAAATAATGTGACTAGAGAGCACCAACTGTGGTGATTTAAAATATATCCACAAATTCTTTGACACTCCTTTCAAAAGGAAGAGCCTAATTCCTCACCTGTCGAATGTGGGCTGGTTTTAGTAACTCACTTCTGACCTGTAGAATGAGGCAGAAATGCTTTCTGAGGCTGGAACATAGGAGACATCATGGCCTCAATCTCTCTCCGGGTGACCTGGTCTGGGAGAAGCCAGCTGCCATGCCCTGAGGACCCTCCCGCAGCCCGCTGGGGAGAGCCACGCGGTGAGGAACTGCAGCTCCTAGCCAGGAGCCATGTCGGGGAGCCACCTTGGATGTGGACCCTTTAGCACAGGTGACTGACCCTCCAGAAGACGACAACCTCAGCCAACATCTCGACTGCAGCCTCGGGGGAGGCCCTGGGCCAGAAGTACTCAGCTAAGCCACACCCTAATTTTTTGACCCACAGAAACTTTCAGATAAAATATTTGTTGTTTTAAGCTATTCCCTAACAGTGACTAATACGCTGTCATGACCTCACTAGGCCGCTCTTCAGGATGTGACACTGTCGACACCCTCCTCCGCCCACTGCGCTGCCCCTTTGGCTTCCAGGAAAGTACTTCCTCCTGAGCTTTCTTTCAGCCTGGGACCCGTCCGTCAGTTTTCTTCCTTAGCTCCTCTGCTGCTTGCCCCTAAAACACCAACGCTCCTAAGGCTTCTACTCTTGTTATCCTACCCCATCTCCATCGACTTCAATCAGACCCATTCGTCATAATTAAAAGTAAAATTTTTATGCCAGTGTCTCCTACCCAGACCTTTCTCTTAGGTGTTGTAACTGCCTATTGGACGCCATTTAGATTTGGTCCTGGCTCCTCATACTTACCTGAAATGGAATCATCCTCTTGACCCCACACCTGTCCCTCTTCTGGTGGCCCTTCCCACAGTGCGTGGAACCTTTGTCCTCCCAGTAGCTCAAGTTAAAAATGTTGCTAAAAAAAAAAAAAAAGAAAGAAAGAAAGAAAGAAAACCAAATAAGCAAACAAAAAACAAAAGAGAAAATGTTGCTCCCAGCCATTCCAGACTCCTCCTCACTTGCTATTTTCAGGACCTTCGGGATTTGACTCAAGTCAACATCTTTAGACTAATCTCTCAACTTTTTCTATAGGTTTTTCCATCTTAATCACTCGTGGTTTCCAAATGATTCTTGCCACTTCAAGCTCTGCACATGCCTTTTTCTAGGATGTTGCCTTTCTATCCTTGACCTATTGCTTTTTTCGTTTTGACAAGTCCTTCTTTCAAACGGTAGTCCAAGTGTCTCCTTATTCTGATTGTGCTTACATTTAGCGTCGTACTGGCAACTCCTGAATTCCCCATCCTTTGCTGTTGGACAATTCTCCATGGTGCTTCTGCAGGTCTTGTCACAGTTTTGATCTCAAACTGTCTTAGGAGCTAGGGGCAGTGTCTTCTCTGGGGCAAAGGGCAGATTTTATTTCTTGACAAGCATACAACTGTCTCCCTCTGAGTCACAGGATGGCCTGCATCCCCCTTCTGGGACACAGAGGACAAGGGGAGCTGCTTTGAACATGAAGCTTATGCTCTCTGCTAGTAATCGTCACTGGTGCCACTAGTAATACAGTCCTTTGTCTCGGACCTTCCAGTCTCATATCTTCTGCCAGAAAATCCTTGAGCCTGTGAAACCACGGCAGGCTTCCTTGCTAGCATGCACACAGGGTAAAATCTTAGGCCCTTCCAAGTTCTTGACACCACACAGTTGACTGTAAGTGCCTTGAGAGCAGGAACTACATCTGAATGGACTTTGCTTCCCCTGTGGGTGATGCAGATAATGCTGCATTGGTCTAAGGGCTTTGGAGATATTATATATATATGCACACATATATATTCCAGCTTTGAAATAAATTGCCATGATTCTTTTCCTGGTTATTAGGAATTATGTACATTCCTTGGGTTTGTAGAGGGTGAAGCCTCAGATCAGTGTTCTGTGGCAAAGTGAACTTCTCTGGGGTTTAAAAATGCTACAGATATCCCAGCCGGCATGGCTCTGGTTGAGCGTCAACCTATGAACCAGGAGGTGATGGTTCAATTCCTGGTCAGGGCACATGCCCAGGTTGCAGGCTCAATCTGTACAGGAGGCAGCAGATCAATGAATGATTCCCTCTCATCACTGATGTTTCTATCTCTCTTTCTCTCCCTTCCTCTCTGAAATGAATAAAAAATATACATATAAAAAATGCTACAGATACAGTAGTCCCCCCTGTTGACTAAGAACTTCCAAACCTATAGTGAATTTTTATGAATTTATTTGGGCAAAAACTGATGACAATGACTAGGAAGCAAGACCTCAAATGCTCTGGAGAATAACAGTTTTGCAGTCTCTGTTAGGTATTTGAAGTTAAGGAGAATTTAATAAAATTTCTAATATATATTTTTATTGATTTCAGAGATGGAAGGGAGACAGAAACATCAATAATGAGAGAGAATGATTACTTGGCTGCCTCCTGCACGCCCCCTACTGGGGATCGGGCCCACAATCCAGGCATGTGCCCTTGACTGGAAGGGAACCTGGGACCCTTCAGTCTGCAGAGCACACTCAAGGAAAGAATTTAAGAAAGATGACATGAAGGTGGGAGAAAGTAAGGCGGGGACTGGGTTACCGGCGAGTTAATCTCTTGAAGGCAGTTACTTTCTTGAGGATTATTACTTCGGACATTGCACAGGTGTGGTAACCTAGATGTGTGAGAACAATGGGCAAGGCTTAACCAGGCATAGATAAACCTTTTCCTCGGGAATTTATGATCAGATCACCCTGCGAGGTCACTTCCCAGAGAACCCCTTTCTCCTCCACACCCCGTACCCACGGGGGATACGTTCCAAGGCCCCTGGTGGATGCCTGGAGCCACAGGAAGCACTGGCCCCACAGACATTTTTATCCCATATAGACGCCCATTTTACAGCTTCTCTTCGGCATAACCGAGTTGCCAGCATCACTCCTGTAGTGCTTTGGGGTCACTATTAAGTAAAATAAGGGCGACTTGAATACCAGCACTGCTCTGCCCTGGCAGTCTATCTGGTAACCAAATACTCAGCATGACCAGGCAGGAATAGAGCATGCACACCCAGGGTGGGGGTGAGCGAGAAAGGAGCCCGATTTCATCATCGCACTTAGAACAGCACACAGTTTAAAACATGTCTATTCCCGGGACTTTCCAGTTAGTATTTTCGGACCGCACTGGACCACAGGTAACTGAACCCGGAGAGCGAAGCCGCGGATAAGGGGGGGCACCTGCAGTTCGCAGTGTGAGTCCTCCTGCAGGTGGTGGGGGCGGAGGTGGTGCTGATGTGCGGTTCGATGGGAGGTTCATCCCTGCTGTTGGCCTCACCGTAGCATCCAACAGCGGCCAGGCTGATTCAGACCCACCTGTCGGAGCCTGAACTGTAACCCTTTACCTGGGTAATCCCTACCCTGGCAGGCCGGATGGCGGGCGGGCTCGCGAGGGCGGGAACCCGCCCTGGCCGCCGCCACGGTTTGGATTGCGGAACCCCGGCGGCGTTTGAGCAGCGGTGGCTTTTGGGCCGGAGGAAATGGGGGATCTTTCCTGGGCCACGGCTGAATGGCTCTTAGAAACCACTGCACCTCGGGGCAAAGGAGGGGAAGTGGGAGGCATCTGTAACACTGTCAACAGTAAATAAAATAAAAACCACTTCATCTCATGTAAAGTCGTCATTGTGTAGATGAGAGAACTGGGGTCCGGAGAGGATGAACTGCCGGGATTGGAGGTGGACCCTGGAGCCTCCGGACCCCACTTCTCTCCCCTTGGAAGGCTCGGTGGTTCCGGTTCCCCGGCTCCTCCCTCCTCCGCACACCGGGCGGCGGAGGCAGCCTTCCCCGGCCCGGGCCGCGGGATCCGT